TTCCTCTCTGGTTTTGTGTTCTGATTTCCCAAAATTTCTTCCTATTCTGAGCACAACACATTTTTAGGTGAATATCTGATGCGCTGCAGATCACACAAACACCTTCTACAGAGTCTGACTAGTACAATATGACTTTCTGAATATTAGTCCTTTCAGAATATAACCCCATTTACTCTGAAAGCCCATACAAGAGAAAACCTGTAGTGAATTGTCTGGTGGCTCAACAAGAGGAAAGTTGGCAGCATTATAAACTTCTTGTTCAACACTTCAAATCAGCAGTCAAGCAGAATGCTTGAGAAGAAATACAATATTGCAGAGAGAATATTGCATGAGTCAGAAAAAGACACTTTTCTGGTATTTTTTCCTTTTCTATGACTTTCAGCCTCAAAGAATGCAGATCAGTGCTGACACCTTTGATACAGCTACAGACTTTGAGTACTTCTGGCTGTCTGGTGAGAACATTCAATATTGTTCTGAATAGGAAAAGAAAAAGACATAGACACTACTGCGTATACTTGACCATTCCCAGCTGTGAAAACAGCATGATTCTGCTGCATACTACTGCTTTAGTATTTTTCAATCTGTTTGACTCCCAACAGTGTCCCCCAGTGAAACCAAAACCACAGTTCAATAGAATGCAGTCAGTGGAAACCTGTTCTTATTCATTAATGCTGATGTTTCTCTAGGTGTCTTTGGACACTTTCATCAAACCCAGTCAAAAAGACACTGAGAACTGCTAGGGATAAACTGGAATTATTTAGTATGCAAACTATACACTGAAGCTTCCAATTATAGAAAGAACACAAACCAAAACTTTTATTCATGAAAAGCTCATAAATGACTCTTCTTAATGTGTCTAGAACAAGACAGGCAAGTGCTAAACAAGCACACACACAAAATCACATTTGGAGGCTTAAGAGTAGAATTTGACTGAGACTTTTAACGTAATGAGAAAGCTGACTTCAAATAAGTTAAGGATGTAAAACGAGTTGGTAATTGGCCTCTCAACACAAAAAAAATCCCTCTATCTCCTGTGTTGAGCACCACTAAAGACATTGTATTAAAATTAGAAGAAAGCTTTTTAACAAAGGAAGAAAGTTTTTAGCAAAATCTTTTCTTTCTGTATGTGTGTATGATCCATTACAAAGGCCTTGTATTCATGGCTTAGCTTTTCATCTATTTTTGCATTGTGCATACTGCCCATGAATTTTAACACTGTAAATAACCTTAAGCTCATTGATTTCTCATCCAGTTGATGTTTAAAAGTTTAGAAGCTGCAAGATTTATATTAAAATACTTAATATTCTTTGGTTAGAAACTGGGGAGTCTCAAACATGTATAGCATTACAATAATTATAGCACAGAAGACCTGAGGCCAATAGCCCCACTATGATTAAAAATTATTTGAGGCATTGCAAATGTAAGATTGCATTTCCAGCTTTGCCAAACCTCCAGGATTTTATGCAAAATTTTGCACAGTAGACATGTTTTTCAGTACACACTTTTATTTGTGTCTTTGGCATTTAGTATTATACTAGGGTGAGGAAAATATTTCTTATTTTTTCTAAAAGTCCTTGAAATTTTACTCAAAATATTTGAGTTCTGTTTTGAATAAAGGAAGCAATGTTAAATCATTCAAGAAATTTTACTTTACAGACAGAAGTGTCATTTTGGAATATGGTTAAAAAGTCTCTTGATATTTTTTAGGTATTTACCAGATAGTTCAACTAAGCTTGTTTTAACTTCCCAAAGAATGATGCAGAATGAACAAAGTTAATCAATGCTAAAATCTCCCTGTGTCTCCTTGAGAGCAATCAAACTACACCTTTAAAAAATCCAGATGTCATTACTGTTACAAGGGGAATTAACAGGAACAGTTTGCAACACAATATTATATTCATGAGCCAGGAATATAATGATAAATGTCTCTCTGTCTCTGACAGACAAATTTATTATTTCAATGTGTCCACAAAGATCTGTCTGCCAAACAAAAGGTCAGTTCTTTGTAAAGGAAGAAAAAAAAAATTAATAAAATATAAATAAAAAACTAATTAAATTATGCAGAGTAACCAGAAACTGTATTTGATAGCACTCAATTCACACGTAAAATGCAGGTAAGTTATTTACTAACAATTCCTTTTTCACACAAGTCAGTTGTCTATGGTCATGATTTGTTGCAATTTCTAGTTTTGCCAATGCTCTGTGTTACAGCTCAAAAAAATATGTAACTGTGTGAATTTTAAAATAGCATTTCATTAGTTAGACTTGAAACTCCAATGCAAATTGACAAACAAATCAGGAAAACTGGTTAAGTTTTTCTTACAAACCTATTTAATGTAAATTAATTCTCCAAACAATACTTTTATTTCTTCTTTTTCATACACAGTATGCTCTTACTGAAAATTCTCTGAATTCCTCCTATCTGCGTCCTAGAAATAATCCTCTATTTGTTCTTAAGGTACTTTTGATAACACAACAGTTTCTTTTAGCCAAAAGGGAAGTTAACTTGTTTGTTACATGAGTATCCTACTTCCAACCTGAAGAAACTGCAAAAGCACCTATTTGTTTCTACAGTTTCAATCCCATCACAGACACTAAATCCAGTGCCATTGTGTATATTTTGTTCTTGTAGACTCAAAGAAGCCCTTTAGTCATTTGCCAATGATTACAATTTCAGTCACAGCTTTAAATAGTTCACCACACACTTTGAATTCTAATATTGTATTAGATATTAAGGTATGATATAAAAGAAGAAAATAATACCTTTAACTTGCTTGGCAAATTTATGCAGAGTTTTATCTTAGCAAGCTTTGTCCCATTTACTCTCTGTATACAAATGTATGCTGTACTTCTGGCAGTGCCACTGTGTCAGCTAAAGACCTCGGATGCTTTGATTTTTTTACAGTGCAAGAAATGTAGGTTGTTCTTATTATCATATGTCTCCAAAAAGAAATCACATCTGCCAAATCCATCTCCAAGCTTTGCAGTGACACTATGACAATACACTGCTATTAGAACATCTTGTCATAAAGCTCTGCTAACTGAATGGTAATTTGTACCAGAATAACCCTGTGTGTCAGGCTTCTGAGTGAGTGAGCAGTGAAAATGGAATTGCATTTAATGGAGCAAGATGTTGCACTCTTTATTTTCCACTCCTTGCTGTTCCACTGTCTTTCTACTCCTTACTGTCTTTCTACTCCACCCTTCTTCTAAATATGCATATCTGGATTAAACCAATGGCTCCCAATTAAAAGAGACAGACATTTATAGAAATGTTGTTTAAAGAGAATCCTAACAGTATGTAAGTATAATAATTCAAGGCTTCAGAGATTACTAACCCATAATCCTTAAAAAAAAAAAGGAAAAAGAAAAAGAAAAAAGGTTGTTCTGAGATACTATATGGGATTTAGGGATACAAGAGAAATTATATTGTTATCTTTCAAATTCTCCCAAGTGACCAGGTATGTATCTATGGCAATGTTTGTAAAACTCTAGCAAAGAAATGCAGAGATCAGTCTTATATAATTTTGGTGACAGAACACATAGGCCAGGAGGCTCCTCACTGGACTAACATTTCCAAGCAGGGCTTTCTTAGGAGCATCTCATTAAACATTTCCTTAGCTCTTGCATCAGATATGCCAAAAAAAAAAAAAAGGAAGCACAGGCGATTTCTCCAGGGTGGGAATCTTGGCTTTTGACTACCTGCCAGAAATGTGATTAGTCTAGCTTAATAAAATTATTGCTTTTAATCTAAAAGTCTACTTTACATAAAATCTGAATGTCAGAGTGCTATTAACCATCCTGAAACTTCAAACATTTCTTTATTGTTTCTTGCATTATTTACTTCACCAAAACCATGTTAAGACAAAAGACTTATATACATCTTCTGAAATTGAGACTAATTAGATAGTAAACTATTTATAGCTTGACATCACTCTGCAGTAAGGCTGGGAAGAGGAAGGCTCAAAGTATATTTGGGCCCTTTCTACGCCAAATATTGAAATCAAGATATAAGGCCCATATACCCTTTTAATAAAAATATATTTAGGACACCTGAAAGTATTGTCTCTAGTTTCTAAATGCTTTCGCTTTGATATTTTTACAAATGTAACACTATGTTATGTATTGAAAATCCTCCAGTAATTCCTTCCAGCAGAAGGAAGAGTTTGGATAAGACTGCAGCCTCAGTTTATAGTAAAATTCATTTCAGAAGTATATTTCTTCTTGCTTAATTTTACCCATTGCATATATTCTTAGCATGAAACTAAGTTATTGCTGATTCTTCGCAAATTTCATGATTCCATCCAGTAAGAAAAAGTTTTAACTGCCCATTTGAGGTAGGCAAATACTGTGACAAACCACTCTTTCAGCACACTTTGTCAAATGTTCCATTTATCCTTTCAACACCCTTTCTTTCACACCTATGGTCTGCAATTCTGTCTGTATATCTTCATTAAAGATTATTTCAAATCAAGATACAGAAAAGCCTAAGTTTAGTCCACATTGACGGACATAAATATTCACACACTTCCAGCCAGGCAGATCAACCTGTGCTGCTCAGAAGCACTGTCCTTGAGCTAATTGTACAGTGCCTCCCAGCAGGAGAATGACAGTCTATCTTGTAAGTGGAGAACAAATGAAAAACAGTTGTTTTGCCTAGAAAAGCAAACAGTGAGAGAAAATATGACTGCTATCTCAAAGCCCACTTAAACTGAAGGGCATAGCTGGCAAAAGAACAAGTGAGCAAAGACTTATCGTGAATGTGTTCAAGATGCAAACCAAGATTTCTGTCCAGTAGAACACAGAGGCTTCTATTTGCTTTCCAGCAGTGTTTTCCACTCAGTATTTCTAGTTTTATCATGGCAGTTTATAAGTTTATGAAGGATTCCATAAAGTAGATGCCCACTGTAGTAGCAGTTGGACTGGATGGATCTTTGAATTCTTTGCTTGTCAGATGTGTGAAAAAAATACTGAATTATCCCATATTTTTACATGCCATCTTGTAACCAGCATATCTGCCTATTTTTGTAGTGTGGATCTGACTTTGAACACAGACTGGTAGTCGAAGAGGTATTCAAAGTAACATAGTTTAACTGCAGCCTGCATCCTCATCCCACAGAAATGGCTGTCCAAGCTTTTTAAGTCTTAGTTCATTCAGATTACCCATGCAATTTGAAAAATCCATTACTTATTTTTAACTGAAAAGGGTACCATGCAATCAAGCTAACTGTACTTCCAAAGTATATTTCGCTTCCACACTGTGATGTGCTGATGGGACAGGTTCAATCGCAGTCTTATTTAAAGCAAATGCGAGAAAATGATGGATCATCAACGTTTTGACTTCAAAACCAATGCATCATTTAATAAAAGTAATTACCTCCAAAGAAACACTGCCATTTTGCCACCAAGTTCTCTTAAAAAATTTGGCATCAATAGATTTATTCTACAAATAAATAGGTGAAACTAGAGGATGCAACTTGCAATTATTATTATCTTTAGATTAAATTAACTCAATGGAAATTTTGTTTCCTAACTAATAGAGTTTTGTTTCCTAACTAAATGGAGAGTTTTTAAATTATTTTTTTATGGCCCTAAAAAGCAGAATGAAAAAGGAAGCTATTTCCAAAGAAGGATTCAGGTCTATCTTAGGTGTCCTGAAATGTCCCTTTAAGATATTTCTGACCCTTGAAACACTGATGGTTCATTAGACCTGAATACAATAACTTTAATATTCCCTGAATATCAAATCAAAACTATTTCCACAGTCTTAGTCCAGCTCTGTTCTTTTGGTTATATTTTCACTCAACTGCTGCTATGTCTAGAATAATCTGATTTTTCATGTAACTCAAGTACTACTTTTGTAAGAGTGTTCCATAGTTGTGTTGTGATTTAACCCCAGATGACAACTAGGCACCACCCAGTCACTCACTCATTTACCCCCAGTGGCATGAGGGAGTGAACTGGAAAAGACTGAAAACTCTTGGGTTGAGAGAAAGACAGTTTAATAAGGAAAGCAGAAGCTATACATACAAACTAACAAAAAAAAAGGGAATTCATTCACTGCTTGTCATTGGAAGGTGCTCAGTAATTTCCAGGAAAGCAGGGCTCTATCACATGTAACAGTGACTGGGGAAAACAAATGCCATCTCTCCTTCCTGACCCCATACCTTGAGGTGGGATGTTTCCAGCACACAGGACCTGAAAGGAGGCAAGCAGATAGTAAGGACACAATCTCTCTTTGATTTCCTAAATGGTGTGGTACCTCTTTGGCTCAGTGAATCACTGAAAATGAAGTGATTGCAAAGAAGTGTATTTTATAAGCATTGCTTATAAAATATATAAATAAAAGGCTGTTCATTATTTACTCCAACTCAAAAATACTCAAAAAACTAGTAAATATTTATTGCTGATATAATTTCCAGTAAATTGTTCATTTACAGCTTTAGAAGGACTTCAGTCAATATCTTTATTTTTCTATAAAAACTGATAATATTTTGTGAGAGACTGAACTACTAATGATTAATAACTCAAAGCATTTTCCTATTTGTGGAGGTAGCAGTGTGCTTTATTGAGGCCATGTTTGTACCCCTTGACAGAGGTAAGGTTTTGTGTGTGCAAATTTTCTTTCTTTCTTTCTTTCTTTCTTTCTTTCTTTCTTTCTTTCTTTCTTTCTTTCTTTCTTTCTTTCTTTCTTTCTTTCTTTCTTTCTTTC